TGAGCGCCGTTTATATAGCGTATGCGGAGGGATAAGCTGCTGCAAAGAGAGAGAGAGAGAGAGAGAGAGAGAGAGAGAGAGAGAGAGAGAGAGAGAGAGAAGTCGCTTCCCTGAGAAACTTACGCCGACGCGCCAACAAGTCGCGCTCCGCGTTCGCCTGCTGCATGCGTGCATTTATTTCTCGAATCGTTGACTACCACCACCGCCGCCGTCGCCGCAGCCACTGCACAGCCCTACATATTATCATTATTAATACTGCGACTGCTGCTGTTTATACATACGAGAGACTTGGCAGTCAATTCGAGCTTCATGAATAAAATGCCAGTGTGTGTGAGTGTGCATTTATTCTGCTGTCATGCGGAACGCGATTTTCGTCCTTCTGCAGCGAAAAACAGTTCATTTCTCAATGCGCGACGATACACGCACGCCACGGCTTCGGGTATATATTATAAGCACATGTGCTATTTACGCACGTAGAACGACGTTTGATAATGCTTATTATAACGCAAGTGATATGGGCCCTTCTCTATTACGTTCGAGGTGTCGTGCGTAAACGTCCTATGCGCCATCGTCTGTACGCTGAGGTATATCTGGTGCCATATTATCGTGTCCTGTGCGAAGAACATACAGTGGATAAGAATGCAAAGTCGCGGATCTTGAACAATGTGCCTCGCTTAGAAAAATTAGATTTTAAACAAATTAAATAGGACCATTGCTATACTGATGATAAGTATTTGATGATATAAGAGAGAGCCCAGTTATATGTTCCTACTTGAATTAACGTTATTCAATTCAATGAGACAATAATTTCGTTCGTTTCCATAAGAAAGCTCTGGAAAGAGAGAGAAAACAACGATAAGATGGCGTTCATATTAGCCAATTTTAATTATGAATCGAAGTTTTTTCCAATTTTAATGGGTGTGGGCTCAAACACACGATTTTCTACAATCGCGCCGTTCGCGCCGATCCGCAGCGCGCCGCTGTGTAAGCAGCAGTGGTAGTCAGTCGTAATTCAGCGATCAAGCTAGTCAGTCCTCGTCGAGTGAGCACCTCTTGTAAGCTCCGATTCAAACCGCGATTCTAAGAAATAAAGTGTATCAATTCTATTCAGCATATATAACGAGTGACATAGTAATTTGCACCTAGTTTCCTCTCGATCCCAGCAACCGGTCAACTCTACTTCTTTTCCTACAATCTACCCACAGCAACCAGAACACGCGACAGAGGCGATATACGTATGGGAATATCGCCCACTTCTGAGGACCAAGGCCGAGCACATCATCTCCGAGGAGCCATCTCCGAGGCCTACCCAGACAACACCCAATTATCCCATAATGGGCACCATGTAACACAATGATATTTGAAGATGCCATTTGCCAATTTGAATTGTGAAATGTACGCAATTATAATTTGTTTGTGAATTTACTTCGAGGACTCAAAAACACATCTTTGTTCAATTATTAAAAAGAATGCTAATAATGTAAATGAAAATAACTATTTTTAATTTATTTTTACTACATCATGCACATATTTGCTATTGTAAAATCCTCTAAATTTTAATCATCAACAGATCAGCAGACTTCATTTGAGAGCTTAAAAGGGGCTAAAATTATCATTTGTAGAATCTAAAATTTTGTTGCATTTGTTATGAAAATGAAAGAAAAATTATTTTTGAAGGTATAATAGTTTAGAAACAAGAACATCTAAAAATATATGAAGCTTTTTTTATGTTTTTTTTTTTTTAATGGAAATAAAATGGAAACCAAAACATTAAAATCCAAGATATTAATTGAAATTAATTTTTTTCAAGTTATTTATTTAAATGACATGGAAAATTGGCTTATTAGATTAATTGAATAACACCATACATTGGAAATACAGCACATATGCTAATTGCCATCACGAATTTTGGAGTTTCACCGCCAAGCAAATATTGCATAAATCTTGATTCTCTAGTTTCTCGAGAATAATTTCGCATATCTCAACCGGAAGTCGATAGTGTATCAGTACCCAGAAAGGATCCATTGCCCATTCCTGAAAAAATCCTCTGGACAGTTTCTCAAAGAGATACAGAGATACAGAGATACAAGCTTCGCGCAGTGGTTTAGAAAATTCATGATTCAAATTATCCGAGAGCACGAATTTGAAGTAGTCCGCAAATAAAGTTATTTTCTTGGCCTCTTTGGGTTCTATGCGGGTCAGGTCGTAGAGTGAATAAGTCGAATTTATCATGATCTCTTTCGCTTTGCTCGTGAACTCCTCGTCGTCGTACCAACATATTTTAGCAACTCTCAGTCTCGCCTGCTTTGATTTCTCGAAAAATCCACTGTTACCGTATAATAATGTCATGATAGTTAAGACATCGCTTCGGTCCAGTTCGTATCCTCTTTTCTCAAGCTGTTCAATGACGCCCAGAGCACCAAACAATAGTTGCAATAACAATGTCAACCCGTCTTTTCCATGCCAAGTTTGCAAAAGAACCGAACATTCATCGAAATGACTCTGGGTGGGGAAAACGAAGTTCGACAGATCGGCGCCACGATCCAAGAGAATGTCGACCATTTCCGGCTGTAGACCCGCTACGGCCCATTGCAGAGGTGTCCGGTCCAACTTGTCCCGGGCCTCGATCTCCAACGGCTGATTTAATTCGTCATAGATCTCGAGTAACATCTTCGTCCAGCCATGATAGCCCATCAGGTACATCAAATGAAGAGACGTCAAACCCTCTGCATCAGTTAAATTTAGATTAGCACCTCGTTTCAACAGCGATTTGACCGCTATCCTGTTGTTCTGGCGCAAAGCCAAGTGCAATGGTGTGTTGCCCGACTTGTCCCGGGCATCGATATGCACCTGTTGATTTAATTCGTCATTGATGCTGAAAAATTTAATCTTTATGCGATCGAAAATTCTACTTCTTTGGCAAATGTGATGCAGAGGAGTCAACCCTTCCTCGTTGGCCAAATTAGGATTTGCACCGTTTCTCAATAGCAATTCGGCCACGTGAATGTTGTCGTATTTCAGGGTCAAGTGCATTGGTGTGTTGCCCAAATTGTCTTGGGCGTCAACCCGACACGGCTGATTCAATTCATTATTAAGGAATAGCTGCGCCAATTCTGGGTCGTCGTTATAATAATCCTTGCAAATGCAGTGCAGAGGAGTCAGTCCGTCCGCATTGGCCAAATTCGAATCTGCGCCCTGTCTGAGCAGTAATTCGACCAAATCTTTACGACGACGATATTCGATCAGGTCTGTTGTTGTCTCATTTTCTAACGGGCTTCCGTATTTTACCCAAAGGATCTCAAAGCGGTAATCCTCGTATGCATGTTTTAGAGGACTCCCAACGTATTTATATTTATCTTCCAGTCTTAAATACCTGTGGGCATCATCCACAACCAAGAGCAATGGAGTATTACCGAACTTGTCCCGGGCATCGACCTGCACTGGTCGATTATTTTCTTGGCTGACCTCGAATAATATCTTTGCCAAGTCAACGAGGCCTTTGGAGCAAATCAGGTGCAGAGCAGTCGATCCATCTGCGTTGGCTAAATTTGGATCGCCGCCACTTCTCAGCAGCAGTTCGGCCACTTCTTCTCTTTCGTTGTTCAGAGCCAAGTGTAACGGGGAATCGCCCGTTTCAGGCACGAGGAGATTAGGGTCCACCTGGCCGAGCTCGAGAAATTTCTTGACGTCGTTATAACAGCCATATTGGCAGGCTATATGAAAATGCGTTAAACGCGACAATGGCTTGCCGTCTTGTTGTTTGTTGTCGTTATCTGAGTTGCAGTTCTTTGCGGTCTCCGAGAGAAGCTGCTCGGATTCTTCGCGAATTGGAACGTCGCCTCGGGTTTCGGACATTTTTTCTACGCGCCTATAGACATGCAACACTAAAACACTGATAGAATAAATTATTTTTCACCTTTAATCACTTTCTGCAGTGCTCAATTTGTTACTTATGCTATAGTATTATTACATGTACCGACTATTACACGCACTACGATCTAAGCACATGGTCGAAACTATTTAATACTAGAACTTGGACGCGCACATGTGGGAGCAAGAGAGAAAGTTATACCTACACGACGCGGCACAGATGATGCCATAAGGCTGATTTTACCTTTCACCGAATTGGAATATGGTCCAAGACTTGGTATAGGTATTCGACCTGCATCTACGCATGCGCGGCGTAAAAAACTCATCGAGTGTACGACGAGTCAATTTTTTCGAACCAAAGAAAGCCAACATGATGGCACCAGTAGCAAAGTGAATATCTTTGTTATTCATGAAAATTTCATTGCAATATTTTTATGTTTACATCATCACCCTTGCAGCAATCAGTCTATACCTATTGAATAAAGAGTTAAAAATGATTACTGTAGCAAGTACTCAATAAAAAACTCATAGTCCAATTAATAAAGGTTTTGAAAAAAAAATCGCAACTAGAATTTTACGATGGGTTCTTATTCTGGGTATTCTGAACAACTAATTTTCATAAAATGCCACTCTTGATTGTTCCTGCGTTTTTGTTTATAAGTGTTTAAAAATGCAAAAACCGGATTATAATTTTTAACTCGTAAAGTGTAAGTTTCAGGATAAAATGTTTCAAGCAAAAGCGAAACATTTTTATTCAATTTTTAAAAAGAATTAATGCTAATAATGCAAATGAAAATAATATTGAAAAAATAATGAAATTATAAAATAATTTCTTTTTTCGAGTATTTTCACTTCAAACTCGAATCTGCTATTTAAGTGCCTTAAAAATTAGGTAATCATTAAAGTAAATAACAAATAATTTAATCGGTAATCGCCGTGATGAATAGAAAAATAAGCTTACCTATCGCCTGTAATAATAATAATAGCATTTTAAATTTTCATGTAAATAAGAAAATTTTCATAAACAATTGAGTAAACGCAAAATTAAGAGAGGGGGGTGCAGAGGAAATCAAGATTCTTTTAATGGAATAGCTAAATCTCAGTTTTTCATTACATTTAAAACTGTTAAGTGCTTATAGCTAGTTAAGTGTTTCAGCTAAAAAATCATATAGTTCCACAATGTCTCAATCTAAAGATTATACAATAACATCTATACACGATGCTGTTAGATTTAAAAATGTACACGTTATAGAATCGTTATTGAAAAACGGCGCTGATCCGAATATTGTAGATGATCAAGGTCTGACAGCACTGAATTTGATTTGTTATCAACCCGATTTGAAGGAGGTCCAATTTGAAATGATTCGACTTCTTATTCAGTACAACGCTGACGTTAATATCTACGATAAAGACGGCTATAATCCGATGATGAACCTTTTTGTCGAAGCTTCTAACGATACAGAATTCCATATGCGTATTAAAGTATTTAAATTACTACTTGAGAACAAAGCCGATGTCACACACGTTAATAACGATGGTGATACAATATTACACGTAACCGTATGGGATGCAGAGAATCCAAAAATTGTAGAAGCAGTTGAACTGCTGTTGAAATATGGTGCTGATCCAAATGTAGTTGATACAGAAGGCATGACACCTTTAAATCTTATATGTGATAGTTATTATTCAAATAATGTCCGATTAAAGTTGATTCGACTAATTATCCAATACAAAGCCGATGTTAATATCAAAGACAAAAAGGGTAATAGTCCAATAATGACCATTGTTGCCAATTGTGACTATTATAACATAGAATTACACATGAAGATATTTACATTACTACTAGAAAACGATGCCGATGTCACTAATATCGAATACGAAAATGGACAAACTATAATGCACAAACTCCTTCACCTTTCATCATGGAATCCATGTATTGTAGAAGCAGTTGAATTGCTATTAGAACATGGAGTGGATGTAAATATCCAAACTATAAGTGGACTTACTTGTTTGCATTTAGCTGTTTACTATCAAGATCTGGAATTGGTTGAACTGCTATTGGAATATGGCGCTAATTTTAATATTACTGATCTCGACGGTAACATACCTTTAAATTATACGTTTAAAAATTTGAGGTTTAAGGAATTCGGTGTTACATTGGATTTCGAAAAAATTTTACAATTAGTGATGCTTCACGTTGAGAACAATGCTGACCTCACGTGTATGAGCAAAGATGGAAAAACTGCATTGCACTCACTCGTCATAAATTTAAGTATGTATACATCGAAACATTATGATAACATGGATTTTGAACCGATGATGAAATACGTGCATAAATGTATTAAAATACTTCTAAAAAATGGATTAGATGTTAATATTCAAGATCGAGATGGACGTTCCCCGCTTAATGAAGCTGTGTCATACTGCAATTATAATTTAGTCAAATTTCTTATAGAACACGGCGCTGATATGTCTACTGTACGATTCAAAGGTGGATTTCTGGAAGGCCAATCTAGCGTCTTACGAAATCTGAAAATGACTCAAAACATATTAGCTATTGTTGACTTTTTAGAAAGCAAAGGTTTTCAAATGAACAAAGATCAATGGTTATTAATATGTCAATTTTTGATTAGATTTGATTTGCCTGATGAGACTAAATTCAATACTGTATGTTACGTATGGAAGACTTTGGAATTTGGTGAGGACACAAAATCTGTCTGTAGATTGGCTGTAGCATAGGTGAATGAATTTTTCGATAAATTTATTATAAATATCTGACTTGAAAAATTATAATATATTTGAACGAAAATTATAGTATGAATTCAGCACTTGCTACAGCGTCTATGAAGTCTTGAAATATAGTTCTAAAATATAATGTACATTATTTTCATCTAGGTTCTGATTTAATGATTAAAAAGTTAGTAGAAAAGCTTCCCTCGATGGATTGGAATCGAAGTATTAAAGAGATGATATATGAGACTGTTCATGAACATCTATATACAGTAGAACACGGAAAAATATATATGGACGTGGAAATACATAATTATTTGCGAGAGAAGTTAAATTCACCGGCTGTTCAAACAATGGTTGAAACGTCTTACCAATTTGAAGAAGAGATTAAAGAAGAAATTGATGAAGCTAAGAGGACAATGATTGGCAATAACATTTCACTTTTAGACCTTTGCACTTCTAGTCCCGAGAAAACATATAAGTTATTGAAAAATTGTGATTATAAATCAGTAGTAAACTCCGAAGATTTTATCGACGATTTTTGGATAGTCGGAAGAACAATTAAAGGGCACATTATAAAAAGTTTAGTTAGAAGACTAATAACACAATTGACATCTGACTGTGTTCCTTTATTAACTAAAGGTGTTTTACCCGATTTATGTTGTGAAAAAATCATCAAATATTTAGGTAATGAAGATTTGTTATCTTTATACGAATCAGTTATAGATGAATTATAATTCGATACTTTTATTTACATCAATTTTTTACGTTATTTGTTACTTTTTTATATTCAAGTTATTTTAGAATTTTTCAATGTTAATTTGTTGGAATACGTAATAAAACAACAATTATTGAAACAACTGTATTAACTTATATTTGAGGCCAACATACTCCCGTCTTACTTTTTCAGCCTTTCTACTTCTCACTCAACTGATAGAATACTTCATAATGACGATGTAAATCACAATTCTGTAATGTTATAGTATATTACGTGACAAGGGACGAAAGTCGAACTTCCGTCCCTGCGAGGTTATTTTTCTTTATCCCCGCTCGAAAGTACGTTTGCTTAACATAGTTAAGAAATATTTTATTAAAAAAAATTGTATCCATGAATTTACGCTTACATGGCAAGGCCTGCCGACATTTGCGGCCCGAGCGCAGCGAGGGCTGCTGGTCGACGGCGGGCTTTGCAAAAAATACCATCAATAATAATATTTATTAGTACATAACTTAAATTATTAATAAATAATTGTAAATCATAGATAAGTATGGCATTAATAAAATACAAACGATCCCGTAAAGTATAAGCATGAATTAGTAACGTATGTTTTCTTCTTGTTCCGATTTGAAGTCGTATTCAATTAAACATTTATTTTGTAAAATTAAGAAAATTTCAATTAAGTAATTCACTCAATCTGAGGTAGACGAGTAGAAACTTGAGTAACCTAGAATAACGTTTAAAGTTGAAAGAATTTTTCAAAATATATTATAAAAATTAACATATTTTGACTGTCTTTGTTCTCTTACATCTCATTTTTTATTCCAACTACCATCTTTAACGATTTAAATTTCGGATTGGAATTGAATGTAATGAAATGTGTGCGTCAAATTATGGCTGTTCAATTTTGATACTTCATAGAATTGTTAGTCTTTTAATATTTATTCAATCTGGCATATGTACATCATAAACTAAATCAATATAATTCATCTATTGCATAGTCGAAACCAAACGATAATTGAAATTTAGGTTGCCGTAGTCATGGAGATAATAACTTTCGCGCGATATTGACGGGGAGCAAAAGTATTACTTTCGTACCCGAATTCGAAGGTGAAAGTACGTACTTTCGAGCATGGGATGAAGAAAAATTTTTTTTCTTTCAACGTAAACAAATCATGGTTTTGACATACACACGAGGTACGGAATTGAAGGACCGTGATCCGCCGCTTCGAAGTACATAAACATCGAGTTCAAGAGCCTCCTTTCTGCCCTACGCGCAAGGAAAGAAATTGTAATGGGCGCTATACACTGGTTCCTGTCGCTCGTTAACGAAGCGTTAAAATGAGCCGCTCGTCGGCGCTCGACAGGTGCACATACCGCATACGTACGCAAGCACACAGATAGGTAGCAGTGCATTCCAAATAGACTTGGCAGTCCGGACCTTCTTTAGCGCGCTTCGTTCTCTGGGTTAAATGCGAGCTTATATTATGGCTGAGCATGAATGCAACTTCGAGCATATTATAAACGTAAATACTAAACTCAAAGGGTGTACGAAAAAAAATGTATGCGCCTTTCGTCGCTATTGCATGCGGCTCTGGACGTACATTATGAAGTTGTTATCGAGCCTTTTTCTTCGAGCGCCTTGTGATCGTGTGCGCACTTTTCATAGATACATTCAACAAAGTGCTGAGTTACATAGCGTACAATTATACAAAGATAACTATTTTTTGGTCTTCGGCTCATATTTCATCGAGTTTCACACTTTTGACTTGTTAATTAATCGCATTTTCATGATTTTGTAGTTTTATTCGCGAAACATAATATTAAAAATTATAATTTTATTTCCTTGTAACATTTACAAATTAATTTGAAACTGAACATTTTGATTTTATGCAAACATTATTATAAAGATTTTTGATTAACTGGTGTAAATAATTTTCATTAATTTAATTTATTTTTGAAAAATACTCTACAAAATAATGTGTTTAAAACTGTTGATTTTCGCGCCAACTTCGGAGCTTATTTTCAAAATGCAATTGTATTCATTACCGAAATAAGACAATCGAAATTTTGAATCGAAGCATCTAATAGTGAATGAGCTCTGATACCCTCATCAGAAATACCTCGTACGAATGAATCCGTTGAAAATGTCTTTCGGTCACATAGACAGATACACTCGTAGCACGAATATATAGGTATATACTCGAGCTCAAGACTGCGGTGCATTGATACACGCAAGCCTACAGACAACACACGCAATTAGCGCGCGGCCGCGTGCGAGTCTACACCTCTTGCGCTCACAGCCGGAGCTCACAGAGAATTGAGTAATTATGACGTTTGATGATGATAAGCCATCTTCAACTTGCCCAGTTCGACATCGCCTCGGAAACAACAACAACAACAACAACAACAACAGCAACAAGATATAATACAGGTATTCGTACACACGCGAGCTCGACTTTGTAAGTATATGTGCGATACAATATATATAGGTGCGTACATTAACGAGTATAACACAGCTGTTAGGCAGCCAACGTCGCATGATACGACGCGCGAGTTAACGCGGACGTAATGAGCGATATTTTTTTCCCCGCTTTTCTCGTGAAGTAACGTACTCGCGCGCATCGCAGATTTTTCGCGCCAAAGCACGAGAGCATCGAACGGATAAAAAAAATATCGCCTCTGTGCCCGTGGCCGAAAATAGCTGCGCCGAGCCCGTACAACAAGAAGCCGTTAACGCGATCGATCCATTGTTCAACTCGCTGGCATAATGACAGCTGCGCAACATCGATGATAAATAAAGTGAAAAGTCCCGCAGCGGCAGAGAACGGGCCCCGTAAGTGCGTGCGTATACATTGTATATCACAGGTCGATGCATGGATTCGCGGAAATGCTCGCGCGAGCGCATCTTTCGCGCGCGATAATTGAATGTAGTGGAAGAAGGATACGCGCCGAGCTTTTCTTCTCGCGCCTACTATATGTGTATAAGTGCACGCGCGCCCAACAAAGTAAATAGCCATATAAATTGTCCATTTTACACACTGATATGTATACGTATAAGAGCATATATTGCATAGGTGCATCTCTCTGCTTCAGTGTGTGTGTGAGTGTGTGCGTTCGTGTATGATACACGTGGGCCTCGCTCGTTTATGTATATTATATATTTACGCAAATCAAAGTCGCGAGTTGCCCCTACATATATATATGGGTTCGCGGATTTTATACCTTATTATACCTATAGCGGCTACGCACACACATACACACACATGTACACGGACACGAGACGATCGCGAGAGTAGAATAGAGACTCGCATCATGTGCAGTGTATACCGCAGACCCCTGCGGTGATTCACATAGTCCTCAAAAATCCAATCCGCTGCATATACACGTTCGTGTGTAGCTATATATGTATAAGGCGAGGGATAGTCTCTCTCTCTCGCTCGCTCAGCCTGGTCTTATATGCGCCTTTCTCTTCGTTTGCTAATCGAACCGCTTCCTACGCCAAATGTGTACGCCGCCTCGTATACGTGTGCGAGGCTGTATATAAGTGTGCGCGAGCGAGGAGTGTAGCGCGCGCCAACTCCAACTCTTTAATAGAGCGAAGAGCTGCATGAGCCGCTCAAGTTTGTGTTGTTGTTGCTGTTGCGGGAGTCGAGCCAAACCCTTCGAGTTCGTAATTACATAACGGAAAATTTCTCTCTATCTTTCTCTCTTTCTTCTTTCGTGATTTCGCTCGATACAAGAGTCGCGTGCGCTGATTAACTACGTTTAGCTGCTTACTCGTACGGCAAATTTCAATTTTTCAAAAATCGAATATCGAGCACGAGTCGAAGAGTATAGAAGCTTCTGTAAGTAAACAGTCCAATTCAACGAGCGGAAGCGATCAAAGCAGCTCATTATAAATTTTCGGCAGATATCGTTAACAAATATGATTAAATCCTCTCGTTCGTTCGTTCGGGCGCTTAGCTTTAATTAACTTGAAACGTATACGTCGAGTCTCTTATACATTCGTTAAAATATATATATAGGCTGCAACTGCCGGCTACTATTACCTATAGCGCGCGCTGCCGGCGTACCGCGATCGTGACTCAAATGAACTCGTCTATGTGTCTATATAGAGCATTTTATATATGGCGCGCCTTGCACAATAATCATTATAAACGTGCTGCTGTACATCGATGCCGATCAATTAAATCGACAATTCCGAAATGCTTTTTTTTGTATAAACGTGTAAGTGCACGAGACCCGCACGCGTGTATGCAAAAGACGACAGAAAACCGATTAGAAATCGGCCAGAGATCGGCGATCGACGTGTCAATCGCTGATAAAAGCTCCCTCTCCTTGGACGCGCGTGCTCCTGTCTATCTCTTCTCCTTTTTCTCTCTTCTGCTGTCCTGGAAATACGTCCTCTGTGTGTGTGTGTGTGTGTGTCAGTCGCTCCTCTGTCGCATCAGCACAAATCGTTTGGCAAACTCACGTGTGCGCAATGTGCAGCAGCAACGGCAGCAGTAAACATCGGCGAGCAACAAGTATATGGAAGGAGAAGGAGGAGATGGCGGAGGAGGAAGGGGCACGTTACTCCCGCCGTGTGCTGCTGCTGCCGCCGCCGCAGTTGCTGTATGTATACACACATAATGTAGCCTTGTGTGCGTGTGTGTGTGTACGCCGCCCGCGCACTTTAATACACGCGCAAATACGCACACATACACCAACTGCGGAGAGTCGAGTCGCAAGTCACCTCCGTTCACCTCTCTCTCTCTCTCTCTCGTTCCCTCACGGACAGTCTACAGAGCCTCTACTCACTCACCTACACATGCATAGACGCGCACCAATACACACACACACTCACAGAGTTCTCGTGCAGTGCAGAAATACACGCTTACACACGGGCAGAGAGTCAGAGGTAGACGGAGAGGCTCTCTCTCTCTCTCTCTGTCCGCGTATAGTTGGCGTGCGCTCGCGTACAATCGCTTAGTGCCGCTCGGGGCCTCGTTCAGACACTACGCTCGTTGTTCCTTC